GCTATGTCATTTTAAACAACCTAGTCTATTTTCATCAAAGATGTGTGTGTGTATTATTTAAAAACAAATAATATATAATAGCTTATAAAGGAAAAAAAAAAAAAGCTGTCTCTACCTCTTAATCTTGCCCTGGCCAGGTAACTATTCGTTACAATTCCAGCTGTATATTATGCCATGTACCCATGTATTCAAACAAATATTAATCACGCTTGCTGTGCCATTTAGGGATATCTGTCTTTCTCACTTTGGAGCCCTGGGATTAGAACTCTGAGCTAGAAACAATGTTTTTATGGAAAGCTGGCCATGTGACTCCTGTTAAAAACTAAAATGTAACTGAGTAGATCTGAGGATCTATTTGGCTTTATCCAGCCACTCATGAATTGTGCAGCATCCCATCTAGCAAGTAGAGAGGAGCTCCAAGGCGGTGTACAAAACGGAAGGTTGTATAGGCAGGAGGAGGGTGAAACAAGGAAGTTAAGAGTAGATTGTTTCAGGCAAGGTCTCCTTCCCTTAGGGGAAAGCAGGGGGTCTTCTGAGGCAGATCACCTCACGAATGCTGATGAGGAAATCCCAGACTGATTGGCTTCAAATTCCACTCCTGGGAGGCTGAAACTGCAGTTTAGTTAGGAAGTCTTGGTGGGGCTTAGCAAAAGTGACTCCATTTTGGGTCTGTTGTTTCTTTTTAGCACTCCCTTGGATGGGTTCCATAACAATAGCAGGACATGGGATCATTCACATGCACCATTGAGGCACACTCATAAGTTCCAGAAACAACAAAGGGAGAGATTTTGTCTGAGACTGCGGGTGAAGGAGCAACCGGTCTGTGACATTTGAACTGTTAGTGTTGATGTGTTGTCATTCGTAACTGTGGGCTGGTGGGTCCTGAGGAAATTTGAGTTATAAATAAAAAATACATGCTGGAATAGAATAGTGCACAGATAGGATACTGACTTTCTCTAAGGAACTCCAAGCAGCTTCAGAGGTCGAGTTAAGACTTGAAAGAGAAATGGGAGTTCACTAGTGTCAGGTGATAGGTAGGACTAGAAGGGCAAGGAGTTGTCTGTACTGTGGGTGACAGCATCGAAGAGCATAGCATGTTCTGGAATGTGAACATGGGACTATAAAAGCTCAAGTTGAAAATTGTCTTATAAACGAGACCTTGAAGGATGGACTGATGAATGAGTTCTATTTGTTGGAATTCTTTTGAAGCCTGGGATGAATTTCTTCACAGGAGAATTTAATTAGCGTCTGCCAAGCTTCTGGGAATTCTACTAATCCAAGATCTCTCTAACTTAAATTCTCACTTTGAGGTCTTTAATACTACCAAGACAGCAAGGATTTGGCCCGAGGGCTGGCTTTCAGCTCTAAATTCCCCCTTTTTAAAAAAAAAATTTTTTAAGATTTTATTTTTAAGTGATCTCTACCTCCAACGTAGGGCTCAAACCTACAACCCTGAGACAGAGTTGCATGCTCTACTGACTAAGCCAACCAGGCACTCCTCAGTTCTAAATTCTGTCTGTGATTTCCTCCCTTTGCTCAGCAACAACATTTGAATTTATTTATTGACTCCTGTAGTCCCCTGGAGCCAGCGGTGGAAATTTTTTAGTGAAGAACTTTATCCAGACACCTAGGTCACCAAATAATCAGAAACAGAATGAAAACCATCTTTCTGATGAAAGAGGCTAGCATTCTATTTACCGGCATCTTACCTGCTGAGAAAATGATTTCCAAATTTCTGTGCTTTATAAAATTTGAAGAAAGGGAAGAACATGGAAATGGCTAGTCCAAATGACCGAGAGCTGGACTTTCCCAAACATCTTTTATTTGCTTACTGCTTTGCTTATCACCAGTGGATTTTGAATGCCAGAGCTAATTTATTCTGATCCCAAGGTTAGTATCAAGAACAATCGTTTTGAAGACTTGGGTCCAGTGCCGGTATGGTTACACGTAAAGTTTGTAACTTTGGGGATTCGTTCCTCCTCTGTAAAACGCAGAACGCTAATCCATTCTGTACCTAGTAGTTTGCTAGGGCTACCATAACAAAGTACCACAAACCGGGCGACTTAACCGAAATTTATTGTCTGACAGCTTCCGGAGGCTGAGAGTCCAAAATCAAGGTGCCCTGAAATGTTTAGGGAAGAATCCTTCCTTGCCTCTTCCTAGTTGGAGGTAATGGCTCTCAGTCCTTGCTTTTCCTTGCCTTGCAATTGCCTTACCTCAGCCTCTGCCTCTGTCAGTTACGTGGTGTTCTCCCTATGTGTATGTCCAAATTTCCCTTCTTATTAAGGACAGCAGTTACTTGGTGGGATTAGGTATTAGGGCACATACTATGCCAGTAGGACCTGATTTTCATTAACTGATTATTTCCACAACAATGCTATTTCCAAATAAGATTACATCCTGAAACACTGGGAGCTAGAACTCCAACATCACTTTTTTGTGGAATTCAGTTCAATTCATAACAACTATCTTCTAGGTTACTCCCTTCTCTGTGTTCCTCAAAATACATCATAGGTACTGTATATACCTTAGTTATAGCACTTATCCTTGTTTTAAAGGCTGCTAACCTTTTTAAAAAAAATCCAGTATAATTAACATACAATGTTATATTAGTTTCAGGTGTACAATATAGCGATTCAATAATTCTAAATGTTATTCAGCAATATAAACGTACTCCAAATCCACTTCCCCTATTTCCCCATCCCCCCACCCACCGCCCCTCTGGTAACCATCTGTTTGTTCTCTGTAGTTAAGACTCTGTTTTTTGGGGGCACCTGGGTGGCTCAGTCGTTAAGCGTCTGCCTTCGGCTCAGGTCATGATCTCAGGGTCCTGGGATCGAGCCCCGCATCGGGCTCCCTGCTCAGCAGGAAGCCCGCATCTCCCTCTCCCACTCCCCCTGCTTGTGTTCCCTCTCTCACTGTGTCTCTCTGTCAAATAAATAAATAAAATCTTTAAAAAAAAAAAAAAAGACTCTGTTTTTTGGTTTATTTCTTTTTAAATTTGTCGGTTTTGTTTCTTAAATTTCACATAAGTGAAATTATATGGTATTTGTCTTTCTCTGACTTACTCCACTTAGCATTATACCCTTTAGATCCATACATGTTGTTGCAAATGGTAGGATTTCATTCCTTTTTATGGCTGAATAATATTCCACTGTGTATGTGTATGTGTGTGTGTATGACATCTTTTTTTTTTTTTTTTAAAGATTTTATTTATTTGACAGAGCACAAGCAGGGGGAGCAGGAGAGGGAGAAGCAGACTCCCCACTGAGCAGGGAGCCCGATGTGGGGCTTGATCCCAGGACCCTGGGATCATGACCTGAGCTGAGGGCAGATGCTTAACCAACTAAGCCACCCAAGTGCCCCTACATATAATATCTTCTTTATCTATTCATCTACCGATGGACACTTGGACTGCTTCTATAATTTGCCTGTTGTAAATAATGCAATAAATATAAGGGTACCTATATCTTTTCAATTTGGTGTATTCATATTCTTTGATTAAATACCCAGTAGTGGAATCCTGGATCATATGGTAACTCTATTTTTCATATTTTGGGGAACCTCCTCCATACTGTCTTCCACAGTGGCTAGAGCATTTTGCATTCCCACTAACAGTACGCAAGGGTTCCTTTTTCTCAACATCCTCACCAACACTTGTTGTTTCTTATATTTTTGATTTTAGCTATTCTGACAGGTGTGAGGTGATATCTCATTGTGGTTTTGATTTGCATTTCCCTGATGATGAGTGCTGTTGAGTATCTTCTCATGTGTCTGTTGGCCATCTGGATGTCTTCTTTGGAAAAATGTCTGTCTATTCATATCTTCTGCCCATTTTTAAACTGGATTTTTTTTTTAGTATTGAGGTGTATCAGTTCTTTATATATTTTGAACACTACGCCTTTATTGGCTGTGTCATGGGCAAATACCTTTTGCCTTTCAGTAGGTTGTCTTTTTGCTTTGATTCTTTCCTTTGCTGTGTAGCTTTTTATTTTGATGTAGTCCCCCCAGTAGTTTATTTCTGCTTTTATTTCCCTTGCCTCAAGAGCTATATCTAGATGTTGCTATGGCCAGTGTCAGAGAAATTACTGCCTGTGCTCTCTTCTAGGAATTTTATGGTTTCAGTTCTCACATTTAAATCTTTAATCTATTTTGAGTTTATTTTTGTGTATGGTATAAGAAAGCAATTTTTTAAAATTTCCTTTTTGATTTTTTGGTTGACCCATTCATTGTTTAGTAACATGTTATTTAACCTCCATGTATTTATGTTATTCCAGGTTTTTTCTTGTGGTTGATTTCTAGTTTCATAGCATTGTGGTCAGAGAAGAAGCATGGTATGACTTCAGTTTTTTTGAATTTGTTGAGACTTGTTTTGTGATCTGTTCTGGAGACTATTCCATGTGTGCTTGAAAAAGAGTGTGTATTTTGCTCTTTTAGGATGGAGTATTCTGAATATATCTGTTAGATCCATCTGGTCCAATATGTCATTCAAAGCCACTATTTTCTTGTTGATTTTCTGTTTGGATGATCTATCCATTGTTGTAAGTGGGGTGTTAATGTCCCCTATGATTATTGCATTACTATCAATTACTTCCTTTATGTTTGTCATTAGATGCTTTATATATTTGGGTGCTCCCACGTTCAGTGCATAAATATTTACAATTATTATATCTTCTTGTTTGTTCATTTTGATTATGCAGTGTCCTTCTTTGTCTCTTGTTACAGTCTTTATTTTAAAGTCTGTTGTCTGATGTAAGTATTTCTACCCCAGCCTTCTTTTCACTTCCATTTGCATGATAAATGCTTTTTCATCCCTTCACTTTCAATCTGCATGTGTTTTTAGGTCTGAAATGAGACTCTTGTAAGCAGCATATAGATGGATCTTACTTTTTTATCCACTCTGTCACCCTGTGTCTTTTGATTGGAGCATTTGGTCCATTTACATTTTTTATTTTTTTTTTTTTTTTTATTTTTAAAGATTTTATTTATTTATTTGACAGAGAGAGACACAGCGAGAGCAGGAACACAAGCAGGGGGAGTGGGAGAGGGAGAAGCAGGCTTCCTGCCGAGCAGGGAGCCCGATGTGGGACTCGATCCAGGGACTCCAGGATCATGACCTGAGCCGAAGGCAGTCGCCCAACCAACTGAGCCACCCAGGCGCCCCTGGTCCATTTACATTTACTTATTGATAGGTATGTATGTATTGCCATTTTATTACTTGTTTTATAGTTGTTTTTATAGTTCTTCTCTGTTCCTTCTCTTGCTCTCTTCTCTTACAATTAGTTCACTTTCTTAGTGTTACACTTGGATTCTTTTTTTTTTTGCATATTAGCATTTTTTGATTTTTGGTTACCATTGGGTTTATATTTAATATTTTCTGCATATAGCAGCCTATATTAAGTTGATGGTCACTTAAGTTTGAACCTATTCTAAAAGCATTACATTTTTACTCCTCCAACCCCCCCCTGAAATTTTAGGCATATGGTGTCATATTACATCCTTTTATTTTGTGAATCCCTTGACCGATTGTTATAGATATACTTAATTTTGCTGCCTTTGTGCTTTCCTTACTCTTACTTTTGGTCTTTCCTTTCCACCACAAGAGTCCCTTTTAACATTTCTTGTAAGGCTGGTTTAGTGGTGATGAATTCCTTCAACTTTTGTCTGGGAAACTTTATCTCTCCTTCTATTCTGAATGGTAGCCTTGCCAGACAGAGTATTCTTGGTTGCAGGTTTTGTTTTGTTTTGTTTTGTTTCTTTTAGCACTTTGAATATATCTTGCCACTTCCTTCTGGCTTGCATAGTTTCTGTGAGAAATCAGCTGATAGTCTTATGGGGTTTGTGTTGTGTGTAGCTATTTTCTTTTGCTGCTTAAAAATTCTTTATTACTGCTTTTTGCTATGTGTCTTGGTATGGACATCCTTGGTTTGATTTTGTTGGGAGCTCTCAGTGCTTCTTGGATCTGGATTTCTGTTTCCTTCCCCAGGTTTGGGTAGTTTTCAGCTATTATTTCTTCAAATGAATTTTCTGCCCTCATGTTCTCTCTCTTCTCTTGCTGAGATCCCTATAATGTGAATGTTATTATGCTTGATGGTGCTGCTGAGTTCCCTAAGTCTATTTTCATTTTGTATCATTCTTGTTTCTCTCTCCCATTCAACTTGATTGCTTTCCATTACTCTGTTCTCCAGGTTGCTGATCCATTTTTCTGCTTCCTCTAGTCTACTATTTATTCCATCTAGTGTATTTTTAATTTCAGTGTTGTTGAGTTCTTCATCTGTGATTGGTTCTTTTTTTATGCTTTCTATATCTTTGTTGAGGGTCTCACTCTACTCTTTTGTCAAGTCCAATGAGTATCTTTATGACCATTCCTTTAAATTCTCTATCAGGCATATTGCTTATCTCCATTTTGTTTAGCTCTCTTGCTGTGATTTTGTCCTGTTCTTTCATTTGGGACATCCTCTTCTGTCTCTTCATTTTGTCTAACTCTCCGTGTGTTTCTCTGTGTTAGGAAAGTCATGAATGTCTTCTGTTATTGAGAGTGGTTGCCTTATAAAGAAGAGGTCCTGTAATGCAGTGTCCCCTGTTCACCAGAACCTGACACTTCAGGGGCATTTTCTGTGTGTGTTGCATGGGCCCTACTGTTATGGCTGAGCTGCTTTTCCCTGTGGTCCAGTTGGCTATAATAGCTCTCTCTGCCTGTTGTGGGCAGGATTTGGTCCCTGTGTTGTTAATGGGCCAGTCTGGGGCCACCCTGGACTTGAGTTGAGTCAGACCAGGCATTTGCCGGAGCTGTATTAGCACCAAACTGCAGGGCACTCTCCCTGTGTTGTCTCCTGAGAAGCTTTCATTGGTGGGATTGCGCCTATATACCCCAGGCATTTTTCAAACTACTGCTTCTATGTTGTGTCTCAGCAGGGCTCTTTGTTGTACTTTTTAAGGGCCGGGACTCCATTTCCTATCACCCTCTCAGCTCTTTCAGAGCCAGGCTTGCTGATTTTTAAAGTTCTAGGTGTTAAGCCCCACTGATTGTAAGAACTCATAAGTTCAATGCTTTGACCCACGATTTTAGAGAAATCAGCTTGTTATTTTACTTCTGTGGGATCTCCAGTATGGTCTGAAGCAGCTAGCCCACACGTACAGTTATTATAGTCCTCATTTCCACCTTAGTTTCTATTGCTTCAACTATGGGTAATGATTTTTAATATTGTTATTTTTCACTGAATTCCATGGATTACTAATGTCATTTTCTACTAGGAAAGCCATCCCTGATTACATGTGTAACCAGGAAAGAAAACCAATTCTTCATGATGTTCAGTTCTTAAGGATCTGTTTGTTGGAACCCATACTGACCTCAAACTCTTTATTAGTTAGGATTCAGGTGGGAAATCAGGAAACAGATATTTGACAAGAAGGGATTTAATACATGTATTTAGATACCCGAAAAATTACAGGAAGACCTGGAAGGAGTGAAGGTCAGGGAGAATGGCTGTGAGCTTACAGAAAAGTAGACAGTAGAAGCACAGGAAGCTGTCATAGATGATATCAGGTACCTACAGTACTGAAACAGGAAATTCACAGAACAGCTTCCTGGAAGCCAACCTTATATCTGCCCTCTGCCTACAAGTCTACCTGCCAGGGCTGGTAAATAATGGCTTTCCCATCTCTTCTGTTCTTTACATGTCCTACAAGTGCCTTACATTGGCCAATTCTAAACTCCACCCTAGAAAGGGATTCTTGGGAATGTAATGAATATGCTTCCAAATTTTACAGGTGAAGTGATGATTCCTCCATCAATAAAGCACATTCAACTGCTAGGGAATATTAGAGGCAACAATGAGAAGAAAGATTCTAAAACATGCTCAGAGGCCTTTGAACTAACAACATGAAAAGATGAAGGAAATGGTCCTCAGTTGACAGCAGACAATCCAGCACACTGTATAAATAGTTCCCAAAATATTCCATGGGATGCTGGTGCTATGATATGATTTGTCAATAAAGGATTTTGTAGCCAAATACATTTGGAAAAAAATCCTAAAACACTAACTCATTCTTAGAGAGTTATAGGACGTATAGTTATATTAAAGAATCTGAGAAAACCTGCATCCTTTTGAATCCATGGAATTCAGAAACCATCCTTTTGCCTAATCTAGCATTCCTCAATATTGTTAACTACTCTGGTTTCCCCCCCGGTATCTGTAGAACATTCTGAAAAACATACTTAGGGAAAGGCCAACAATGAACCATTTCTTTGGTTAGTTTTGTTGGCTTGTGTTAGGTCACCATTGACTAAGTGAAATAGGAAATTGCAAATATAGAAATCCCAAGCCACCATATTTGAAATAGCCTGAAGCAATATTAAAAACATGTAGCAGAAAGACTTATTCATATTGCAACAATTTGTATGCACGAAGTAATAAGGTGGGATATGTATGCCTGTCTGCAAGCAAAAGTTGAAGGAGCTCTTTACATTCTCTGAGGCATAAGAAACACTATAGTACATGGCATCAACATTTTCTAGACAAAGAGTGTTGTATAGTGTTGTATAAAACAATGGGAATATCTGAAAAGCATTCCTCCCGATCAAGGGGTGGGTACTAGTTCAAGTGTGTTTCATTACTTGCTACCAAAAAGTAATAGCTAATACAAAATCAATACGTGAGACGGGCCATGTAATATAGAGCTGAATCTAAGTGAAAGAAGCCAAACACAAGTGGTCACATATTGTAGATTTCATTTATATAAAATATAAAAGTAAAGTTTATATAAAATAAAAGAATAAGTCCACAGAGACAAAGCAGATGAGCAGTTGCCAGGGGCTACAAGAAGGAGAAATAGGGGGGACTACTTGGTGGGTAGGAGGTCCCTTTTGGGGTGATAGAAGTGTTTTTGGAACTAGGTAAAAGTGATGGTTGCACAGTGTTGTGAATGTACTAAATGTCACTGAATTGTACACTTAAAATGGTTAATCTTATATGAATTTTATGTTGATTTTTTAAAAAAAAATATAAAACTGATCAAGTCAAAGTGGGATGAGAGGAATGTAAGGAAGAACCCTCCATCCAAGGTAGGAAAGCTATCAGAGTTTGTTTTATGCCCAGAAGTTAGTTAAAACATTGTCGTCTTTTCTTGGTGGTTCTAGACTGAGTATCCGCCAAGCTGGAGCACTTGGTGATGTTCCAGTGAAGTAACATGGTGCCGGAATGCTAGCTCTTTCTTTCAGTCTATAGTAAAAACCCAAGAGAAGGACAGAGATGAGTGATATGTTGAGAAAGTTGCAGACTAAGCATATAGGCAACAGCAATACAAGTATATAATTTCGATAAGGAAGACATTTCTGCTCATAATGATTGATCTGAGGTTGCTGGCTGAGAGTCAGGAAAACAAGTATCTTATTGAATTTCAGCAGTAAATTGTGACACCCTAAAATTAGCATGCTGATTGTAAGTAAACTATGGGATATTAGTAAACTGGAAAAGGCACATCCATGTGTATTAATGATCTATTGCTGCTGTGTACTCACAGCCCCTGACCACCCTGCCCATTGCACCAGCCCCCACCTGTCATTCACTGATGCAATCATTGCTCTGCAGCTGGCACGGGACTTTCCGCCTTCTTTTATTTTTATTTTTTTAATTAAAGATTTTATTTATTTGTCAGAGAGAGAGAGGGAGAATGAGTGCACAAGCAGGGGGAGTGGCAAGCAGAGGGAGAAGAAGGCTCCCTGCTGAGCAAGGAGCCCGATGCAGGACTTGATCCTAGGACTCTGGGATCATGACCTGAGCCAAAGGCAGACGCTCAACTGACTGAGCCACCCAGGGGTCCCTCTGCCTTCTCTAGAATTTTATTTACCTTCTCTAGCTTATACCTATTTGAGGAAATTTTTAGTGGTGTATTAAAGATTACAATATACATCTTTAACTTACTATGGTTTATTTTTAAATAGTATTATACTATGTTGTAAGCAGTCTAAGAACCTTACAACAATATGATTTTATTTGACACCTCTTTTACATATTGCACTCTGTTGTGTATTTTACTTCTACATGTGCTATAAACACCATAAAACGCTATTGTTTGTGCTTTAAATAGTCCGTGGTCTTTTTTTTTACTTTTTGAATTTTAATGCCAGTATAGTTAACATACTGTTATATTAGTTTCAGGTGTACAATAGAGTGATTCAACAATTCCATAT